ATTCTCCAGTGTATTTTACTCATCGATCTCTTGTAAGCTTGAGTATGCTGAAAGTAATTTCGATTTCAATTTTTTCCATTTTTGTTTAATGCAGGGGTGCCCAACCAGTCGCTTGCGGGCCCGCCAGCTGATTCCCAGGTGCCCGCGCAGCGCAATCTTGCTGCGGAGCCTCTAGCGCCGGCTTTGGGCACCGCATCCCGGAGTGGCTGGTCTTGTTTGAAAGCTCTGGTACTGCCCTACAAGGTGAAAGTTAAAGAAGTCCCTGCGACGTTCCCCCACGGAGCAATAAGCAAAAAACCTCCAAAATATGCACTGTCGGACCTCCCGCCGGGGTGGTTTTAAAACTCTATCTCCATCACTGCTGAATCAGTGCCTAAAAGACAAACTCAGTGTCACCCGATTGTCTCGCTGGCAAAACAAATTGCTGTTCTCCCCTTTTGACTTTTTTCAACTTCGTACATATGTCTGTGAAAGAAAACATACAGTAGAGCATCTTTGTACTGGGTGTTCTTTGATTCAGGACACTGCATCAGCGTGTTGCTTTTATTGTAGGGACAGAAAGTGTCTTCAAGTGAGAGGATAGGCTGTTTTAATCTAAAATGCATCAGTTGGTCGTGTGTACAGTTGTAGAAATGTGCAGTTACAGAATTGTGAGCAATGTCCTTCAGCCTTTCACAGACTTTGTGGTGGCTGGGGAAACATACTGAATTATAATTTTATTCAGTGCTGTATGTGGAACTGTAATTTTGATGAGTAGAAATATTTAAAGTTTGTCTTAAGATCCTCTTCACACTGGATGACAACCATTCTACTTAAAAAAAATGTATATACAGTACATACAGTATCTTCCTAAGCATGTGTGGTCTTTACAAGGTCTTGATTTTATTGTCGAGGGCATATTGATTTATTGCTATTTTTCATGTTGTCTTGGATATTTTATCATGTCAGATTAAGAGTTTACAAGAAAGGTCTAGAAACAAAAAATAAATTAATACAATATAAAAAATAGCAGCTGATTCATAACTTAACCAAATCTGATATACAGTATATATATATATTTATATCTTGCTGCTTTTTCATTTTCTCTCTTGTATTGTCGTTTTAATGTTCACACTGGATTTCAAATTCATCTTGATATCTCCTCCCATGGTTGGCTGTACTGTCCTCTCATTAGTCAATGTGTGTTTGTTTCCCCAGAGTGCTAGGAGCACAGGACTAAGAGTGATACCCACGGCGTGACATTTCAGGTTGTGAGTTTGTCTCCCTCTGCTCATCCCCCCTACATCACCCTATCTGTCAGTCCTTTCATTTGTATGTTTGACAGATGTTAATGTACACTAATTCCAATGAACTCACAAAGGGACTGGGTGAACGTTCAAGTATAAGTAACAGTGTTGACTTAGTTTATTATTGATGATCTTAGTTTGATTATTGATGCAGTGATGATGTGTGAATAAAGGTTTTATTTTCTAACGTATTTCCATAACTTTATCAAACCTTGAGGAATATGCTCTGTGGTTTACAATGCCTTAAAATGTCCTGATGCATCTCAGTAACCCAGGTAGAAAAACAATCTAAAAGAAAAAAACAAGTAGGTCCTCTGGATGGTTCTCCTTTGGTGAAATGTTTCGTCTCTCATTCAAGAGACTTCTTCAGTCTTATGAGTTTCAGGTGAACTCAGCCTTATAAGCACTGCCTCCACATGGTGGACAAACAGGTTAGTCATATGCAAAAGAGGGCCATCGTCTAACAATAGGCTTGATTAGCTCTACTGTTCATAGAGGGTTTCAAAAGAATGAGCCAGCACAGACGAGCTACATTGTCGGGTCAGGACTCCACAGTTTACACTCATCTACAGGCCAGCGGTCACTCTTTCAGGGATGAAGATGTTCTCATCCTTGATAGAGAGTAACGTTGGTTTGAGAGAGGAGTAAAGGAAGCCATCTTTGTGAAGAAAAAACGTCCACCATTAAACAGAGGGGGAGGCCTTCGTCTCCAGTTGTCCTCCTCCTACAACGCTGTTATTGCAAGTATGACTCAGCCCCCTGTGAGCAAAAGGTGTGAATCAGGGCCCCAACGATACCCAACACAAAGAGGGACAAAAAACAAAAACAAGGGGATTTTGAGCCCCGCCTGCATTCACTACATACACATGACACAACACCAAAGAACCACAGCATCCAAACCAATAAGTCAGGTGATGGAGCACATGACCCTCTATGAACAATAGAGCCAATCAAGCCTATTGTTAGGCGATGGCCCTCTTTTGCATGTGACTAACCTGTTTGTCCACCATGTGGAGGCAGTGCTTATAAGGCTGAGTTCACCTGAAACTCATCAGACTGAAGAAGTCTCTTGGAGGAGAGACGAAACGTTTCACTAAAGAAGAACCCATCCAGAGGACCTACTTATTTTTTTTTCTTTTTGATGCCTTAAACTGCATGACTTCCTGTTACACACTCATGCTGACAGAACTATTTTATATATTTATTTTAGCTATTACATCCTCTTACTGTACATTACTGTCAGTCAGAATTACTGTAGGATCAACTTTACCATCACCTGCCACATTTCAATCCAAAGTTTTGAACAAAACTTCAGTGCAATTACAGAGTTATGATGATGACTATCAGCTCACTTCAGCACTTTATCCATAAAATTGATCAAATCTTAGCCATTTTGGTGTTAATTTTGATTATCTGTGGCAGCCATCTTAAATCACCCAAAGGTTAATTAATTGTCAATTTCTTTGAGTTTGATATAAATTCATCATGCGGTTCATAGGATATTTTGCTAACAGAGATAAACATCCAGAGGATTTCAGTTTGTGCAGAGCATGTTTTATTCTTATTTTCAATACAGCACTGTTGGATTGCAGGATAAATTGTGCCTGGATATACGTACAGTGTATTGCTTTTTTTTTCACATAATTTAAGCCTAAAATTTAAAAAAGGAATCATACAAGCTTGATCTTTCCTCTTTTCATTAGCTTGAAATGTCCTGTAAATTTCATTTTTTTATTTTAATTTGTGACAGTTTTTCCATTTATCTCAGTTCATCTCCAAAGAGCCGCACCTTTAAAATACAAATTCAGTGCATTTTTGTCAGTATTGGTTTTCTGTTTTGTTCCCTTTTGGACAGAGATTCCCTGAGCTGAGAATTTTTCAAACATCTCACATATTGTAGATGGAGAAAGGATCAAAGTCTTTGCGTAGAACTGTTTACTCTGAGATACTTCTTGACCTGTTAATACTAACTTTATTGTTGTTTAGTCTATTTAAAAATAATGAAGGGAATCCAAAAAATAGATACAGAGAATATTGATTTCCCCAGAAMGCTGATGTGATTCAAGGTTGGAATTTAACACCCTAACATTGCTCACTATTTATTGTAAAGAAAGTCCAGAACTTATTTAGATTTGTTAAAGCATCAAACCAGTTTGGGACTTATACTTGAGTGTTTACTTAGACATGCATGGAGTTGAAACGACCTTTAACCGTCAGAGCTCTGACAATAAAACTTMTTTTCATCATCCACCTCCTTTTGTTTTATGTTAGTCGTACTTGTGTCCAGTTTGTTACTGTGCATGTAGTTTGTTCTTTAACCTCCTGTGTGTTCATTATGTTTTCTTTGCTGTTTGCTTGTTGTCTAAATGCCACATTTTAGGGTTTTTATTTTTCTTCTCTTTTCTGTCACTCTTTCTTTGGGGATGTGTTTTTTTTTTAATCGGTGTGAGTTTGGTTTACACTGCGATGCTTGTGTTGAGCAAATCTCATGCAGACTTGACTCACTCCATTCGGGACCCATGCTTCTCTCACGTTGTGTTCCATTTGTGTGTTTGTGTGTTTTATTCAGAGTCTGTGTGGATATTGTCCCAGACAGTGCTCTGGCATCCCCAGAAGTTTTTAAACCGCCTCATTGGATCTCTCAGATCTAACCTTCTTCTTTCTTACTGACCTCGTCCACCAGATTTTCTTCCAAACTGCATGAGATATTGTCATTTAATTTTTTCTGTAAGCATTTCATTTATTAATGTGGCTTGTTTCTAGGTATACAGCACATTGGACTAAAGCGTATACTTACAACGAGCGTTTGTGTTGCTTTGGTTTTTCTCGAAATGTATGATTTTCTTGTGTTCTTTATGATTATGTTCCTCACAGTTTTCCTTAGTGCACGCCAAAATTGAGTGACTTGTGAACTGTAGTCATCTTGTGCAAGCAGAACACAGACTGCAGTTGCCTTTTCTCTCGTTTCTTCACTTTTCTCCACCTCTGTATCTTCAAATTAGAGGATTGCTTTTCCTCTTCTTTGTCTCTTCCTTTTTCCAACCTCCTTCTTTTCTCTCATTCCAAGGTTCCCCTCAAAGCAGTTCACATAAGATCTGACATAACCGCTCATGATCTTTTTTTCCCTCTTTCTTCTTATGTTTTTCGCAACAGATCCGAGTTGTGAATGCATTCCGTAGCTCCCTTTACGAAGGCCTTGAAAAACAAGACTCCAGAACATCCATACACAACTTCATGACCCACCCAGAGTTTAGGATAGACGACTCCACACCCAGCATCCCGCTCATCGACGACACGGACGACGACTCCGCTCGGAAGAGGGGGAAGTACTCCAGCCAGCCCTCGTCCCCGAACAAGAACAACAATGCCATCGACAGCGGCATCAACCTCACGATCGACATCAGTAAATCCGCCGCGTCCTCCAGCCCCGCCAGTCCTCTGCACAGCTTGGAGACCAGCCTCTAACCCCCGACGCTAACCTCGGCTCCAACCTCCGAAGTCGTTCCCCTGCGGTCCAGGGACACCTCTTCCAGCTTGTCCAGACCTGTAACTGCTACTGTCCACCTTATCACCAGTTCTCATCTTCTCAACCCCAAAAAACACCATTCCACCCCTCGAGAAAGGTCAGGTCCAATGGAACAAATACTTATTTATTCATGTAACCTTAATTCCGTAAACATTTCCTCTCCTTTTAAAAAAATGGAGCAATTCTTAGTGACATTGCAAGATTAAAACAGAAAAACAAAACTATCATACAATCCATAAAGCTCAATAAAGCCACAAAACCGACACAGCCATCCTGATTTTGTGGTTGCATGTATGGTGGCAGCCTTGACGGCGTGCAGGACTCGACGCTTGTACCGGTTAGCATGTACTGTATGAGCGTGCAGCTGAATGCACGTTTGGACGAACTGCGTCAGCGGAGGACAACAAAGAGGGGAGAGGGGAGACCACCGAGGAGCGTAGACCGCAAAACAGACCTTTCTTGCTCTCCGGAAACTCCTTTTCTTCAGTAATAATATTGTTAATACAGATACGGTAATAGTTTAATTTAAATTGAAAACTGTTGTTATTATTCTAACTCTGGTTCTGATTATTATTGCTATTATTCTTATTGGTCCTGCATGAATGTACATTACCCAAGTTTATTTAAAGAAAAGGTTTATTTTATTGAAGTCATTTGGTTTTGACGGGCTGGGCCTCGTGGTGGACTGCAAATTGTGAGAGAAAAAAAACAAAACAAAACAGACGAATGAGGAAAAAAAAAACAGCTTCTCTGAGTTCCTGGCCTGCAAAGTTCCCTCTTCTGTGTGGCATGAACATGTACTGGACTCTAAAGAATTATATCACCCATAAACAGAATGGAATCGGTAGGGCCAAACTTGCACAGTAGTTTTTGCACCTGTTGAAAAAGAGGAAGGCAAAATCAAAATAGCAATGATAGCTTTTATGGGATATATTCTATACATATACATTCATGAAAAATATATTTAGAGAGAGTTTATCTTTGTTGGCATGTTGCCTTGTTTCTGCTTTAATGGCTCAAGTTACTTTTGACTTATTTATGTCTTAAACAGAATGTAATTGTTTACAACCTTGTAGAGATCAATTTCCTGGTTTTTTTAAAAGGAGGAGGGTCAAGTAGGAGCTCAGATTTGTGTTGACTTATTGTTCTARGGGGCGCAGGGGATGACGTGCTGGAAATTACTGCTATATTGTTAAACAATGTAGATATTTTTAGAGGATTAACAACAAAAAGAAACCAAACTACAAAGAGATGCATAGTACAGTACGTGTGAAATCTTAGTATTACTAAATGATTGTTGGGATCAAATAAGAGCGGCTTGCCTTTGTTTAATTTCTTAACGAATGCCTCCTTTTCGTGACAGAGGAGGATATTTGATTCTTTTTTCAATCTCTATTTTTTTTAAACTGTATTTTATTTTTGCTTCGCTTCAGCGCTGACCTGGGGTCAGTGCTCGAGTAACAGGTTGATATTTATTGATTGATTTACTGACGGTCCAAGCCTGATTTATTGAACTGTCCTGTAGGTAAACCTGCTTGTTTTAAGGATTTGATGTTTCAAAGATTCCATCCAAAGACTGCAGCTGTATTCAGAGTTTGCAAAATTTCTATTCGGCTTACTGTACCACAAGAAAAGCAGACACATTTTTGGTTGAAATTGCAATATTTTATGTAATTAGTTTTTTTGTTTCCTTATTTTTTTAATCAATATTCCAGTTTATATKTATTTGTTTTCATCTAGATACATGCAGCCCCACCAAGCTGTTGGCATTTTTACCATCTATAAAAAAACTGAAAAACTACATAAAAACACCAAAACAAATAACAACAAAAAAGGAATGCTGCTTTGACTCTTTCTATATATATAAATATATATATATACTAAAAAAAAAGATTTTCTGCACTATCTGGTTATGAATGAAATCTTCTGTGGTGTAWCTTTAGATGTGCTTTTGTGTGTTTTAACCAAGCTTGTCTTCCTGCCGTCACAGAATATACAGTACTCTAGCATCTCAACTGTACTCACTAGTTGTAAACTATTTATTGTACTTTGACCAATCACCAGAGTGAAGTTACATGCAGAAGGCACATTTAACTCATTTTATTGCACTCAGAGGGACAAGGCCACCTAACTAGCCTCAACTATTATTACTCTAACTAATCAAAGTCAGTGGCAAGCATGATGTGATACAGTAGGTTCATTATGCAACTTGAAAAAAATCCTATTTATTAGAGAGTATAAGCAATTATTTATCCAAGCAGTTCTACCTAATTTATTATTTTCTTTTTTATATCCTCCTCCTCTGTCATTGTTCAGCTTTATGAGTCAGCTCAGGCATGTCAGAAATGTAACCATCTGATTCATTTTTATTTTTTTTWAATTTAAGTTCTGGTTCTGATGTTCACCTTTAGACACTCTTCATTTTGTTATCTTTCAGATGTTTCAACTTGACAGTTTGTTCATTTGACGAACAGTTTGTATATTTGATTAAATGATTTGACAGTTTGTTTATTTGTCTGTAAAAACAACAAGAAAAGACAATAAATAAAACAATAAACATAACTATAGCATTTTCAGTTAAAAGAAATAAAAGATAAATAAAAAAAATCCTTCAGCCAACTTTCTCAAACCACTTTTACATCTTGAAGGACTTTGAGCTTTAAGAGAATGCAATGAGACTGAGGATAATTTCTTTTTCTGTTTTTTGTAAATAGAGCACTGCAGGTCCAGCGTGGGCTGAAGTGAWAAATAGGAACTACTTTCAACAACTTTACAAAGACTCACGCTGATGACACGGCTCTGTGGCTGTATGTAAACAATCATCGCTCCTGTCAGAAACATAAAAACACATCGTGATTACATCCTAATCATAACACGTGTTGTACCATCCTGTCATWATGTTAATGATGACATCGATGATGATATCAATGATACTTTTTGCAATATACTCTCACCTGCCTCGATGTACTGTATTTAGCAGCATGCAGTTTGTGGAACAAAGAAAAAGAGAAATGCCAACTCATAGCTTTTTATTTTGGCATACTTAGCCATTTATGGGTAAGTGAGTTAAGTGTTCATCTTGTTTTTATGATATTTTTTTATCTATACAATAATTGTAAATAAAGAACTCAATGTCTTTGTTCATTTAATACTATGCAAAAAGTCATGCTTTTCTGATTGTTAACCATTTTAATTCTAGAGTGTGCTGCTGAAATGTTTGTGGTTTTAAACATAAGTAAAAATAAGAAAAAAAAACAAGCAATGTGATGTAAATTATTTCTAGCTTGAAGAAAAGTCAAGTGATGCTGAAAATGATAAAGGTTTATAAAGCGGTGGCTATAATGACAATGATGATGATGAAGATGATGATGATAATGATGAACTGTGACTCTCTCACTGCTTGACTGTCCCATTCACCACACTCCTGACAGGAGCACTAGTGAAAACATAATAATCACAATAAAAAAAGAGAAAAATCATTGAATAAATTTCCTAGAGCAGCATGACCCAGCATGGTGTGTCCTGACCCCGTGTCGCATGTTCTGTCCTATTTGTTCTGCTTTTTCTCTGTTTCTTCTTCAAATGCTTTAAAATGACCTCAAAGTGAGACAACAGGACAATTCAAGTTAACAGGAAAGTAACTATGGCATCTTTGAGCCTCTTTAAGTCCATGTTTTAAWTTCTCCTCTTCTTCCCTGTTCCTTTCCTACCGAACAGATTGTTGTTCAACCTTTGACTAATCTAATSCAATTTTCTTGCCCATCTTTGTAAGCAAGTTATCCTTATGCAAATCTGGTTGGTTTAAATGTTTGAAACATTTTGTCAAATAACCAAGAAGGCCCAACATATTTAAAAATGAAAAACATTTATTTATTTATTTGTTTATTTATTTATTTATTTATTTAT